CGAAATCTATCGCTATTTGCGTGGTTTTCGGCGTCGACGTGCACACAAGTGAACACTGATATGTTCTAGGTTGGTCTTGGGGGGTCTTTATGTAGAGCGGGCGGGTGTGTGAGCAGGCATGGCCGTGCTCCGCACGGCGGCCCGCCAATGGATAAAGAAACGGCTGCCGGTGGGAGGACCCCACGTAGAGCGGGCGGGTGCCCAAAAAGGGTGGATAACCCCCGGGGGGGGGGGGTAGCATATATATATATATATATATATATATATATATATATGCTAGCCCCCCCCCCAAGACCAACCCTGAATTCCCTAAATTCCCTAATTCCCTACCCATTGGATTTAGGGAATTCCCTATTCCCCTAAATTCCCTAAATTCCCTAATTCCCTACCCCATGTGTTGGATTTAGGGAATTCCCTATTTCCCTAAATTCCCTAAATTCCCTAAATTCCTTAAATTCCCTAAATTCCCTAAATTCCCTAAATTCCCTAAATTCCTTAATTCTGACCCCCATGGATCAGATTCAGTGGTTTCCGTTCATGGGTAGGGAATTTAGGGAATTTAGGGAATTTAGGGAAATAGGGAATTCCCTATATCCAACACATGGGGTAGGGAATTTGGGAATTTAGGGAATTCCCTGGATCCAACACATGGGGTAAGGACTTAGGGAATTTAGGGAATTAGGGAATTCCCTATAAGGGTTAGGTTTAAGGAATTTAGGGAGTTTAGGGAATTAGGTAATTCCCCAAGTCCAACAGATGGGGTAGGGAATTAGGGAATTTAGGGAATTTAGGGCATTAGGGAATTTAGGGAATTCAGGGAATTAAGGGAAATTAGGGAATTTAGGGAATTTAGGGAATTCCCTAAATCCAACACATGGTCCTGGCTGGGAGTCAGGAAAGTTAGGCAATGGGCTAAAACCAACACATGGGGCTGGAAATTAGGGTATGTAAAGACTTTAGGGATTTAGGGAGTCTGCAGGAACTCACGCATTCTGTAAATTCGAGGCATGGAAGCAGTGATTAGAGAATTTAGGGAACTCGACCTCGCGACGTCGCCGGTTGACGGGTCTGTGCAACTGATACTTGTAATAATATTGATATTATTTTGAAAATTTTGAAAACTATAATACTCGTACGAGTACTAATACTTATAGTAATACTACTGGTGAAACTGATAGTAATGCTAGTATGAATACTGATTTTCCCAAGAATACTAGAAATCATGTACATTGTAAGAATAGTCTTGATGCGAATACTAATATACATACTATAGCTAGTATTATCGCTAGTATGAATATTGGCTACGCATATTCGTGAAATTACTCATTTTCGGAGTACTCATAGTCATGATAATATTAGCATTAAGGCTAGTGCGAGCGTGCATAATAAAATGCTCATACATGAATGTTAGCATTCGTATTTATATCAGCATTGGCATGTTTTCCAGTAGTACTAGTAACTCATACGAAGAGTAACCTCAAGTTTCATATTCCGACGAATACCAACGCATGTTTTGTTCATGCTAATTTTAATTCTACTACTACTAGTATCTACTCCTAGTATTGAAAAAATTGTACCAATACCAATTTTAGAACTGAGGTGAACACGAATTTTAATGTTCTTGCCAATACTAATATGCATAGTAATATTAGTTAGCATTAATGTATAGGAAAACTAATGTTCTTACGAATACTAACAGTCATGTTCCCCTTTTATATTCATATAAGAATCGTCATGCCTAGATACGTACTAATGCTAGTACTCATGCTAATACGAGTATTAATACCAATACAAGCATATGTATGAATATTCCTACGGGTATTTATGCTCATGTTCTTAACAAAACTATTCTCAGTACGAATACCGACATTAATAGTCTCTTTAGAACAATTTTGATATTAGTATGAACACTAATACTTCGGCTAGTACTAACATGCATAATACTAGTAAAATTATTTGTGCTCATACAAATATAGAAAGATTATTACATACTCATATTAATATCAATGCCAATATGAATTTACAAACATCATATTAATGTCAATATCGCTTTTGTAATGTATACTAAAGAACACATCAGAATAAGGCACAAGAAAATGAATGCATCAGATTGTTAAAAACTCAATGTTTCAATTTACCAATATGTATGGTTATAGTATTATACTAATATACTAATAAAATAGTATACTAATATACTGGGAAACTGATATGCCAATAGACCATTTTAATATACCAATATACGAGTATACTGAAAACTGTTTTTGTTAATATACATGTTTTGTTTATATACCAATATACTGAATATACACATATGAATACTGATACACATAATGTACTAAGACTAAGTTTTTAAGGCCCAGCCCACGTCTAATATTAATACGAATACTAACACGAACACTAACACTAACACTGCTTTAGACATATATTAAACTAAAACTGGAGCACTAATACTCATATTAATATTAAGATTAACACTGACGTTGACACTGACACCAGCATCAGCACTAACAGGAACATTAATCAAACGAATAATACTATTGGACAGATACCAGCAGCAGTGTTAGAACTTCTAAAATTAGTAATGACACAAAACAAATACTAATGCTAACGCTAGCAAAATATTAAGGTTACTACTCACAATCATTAAGGTTAAAACTTAGAACAAAATTAAGTCAAGACCAATGTTAACACTGTTTTTTTAAGACTGAAACTAAGAATAAGACTTTGACAAGATGACGATAATTAATAAAGGATGAGGCACACAAACTGGACTCTGACTTTTACCACTCCGACAAGACGCACCCAGAGTGTAAATGGTGTCCATAAAACTGAACCCTGTTTTTTGCCAGTCTGTCAAGAGGCGTCGAGAGTGCAAACTTTGTACGGGAACACAAACACCATCGATATTTACAGTGGTTTCGGCTCTTATCCATGACGCTGTGAAGACAGTAGTGAGCAGGACAATGGTCGAGGTTGGTCCTGGGGGGGGGGTTACCATATATATATATATATATAAACATATATATATATATATATATATATATGTATATACACATATATTTATTATCAAGTCGGCAAGACATCAACGCAGACACCAACAAGTGAAGGAAACAAGGGCACCGGATGTGCAGTGTGCACAGGTCGAAGGCAAGGTTACAGGCAAGAGTTGATCCATGTTTTGCATACAGTTACCGTCATGGTTAAACACCTCCCACCAGCACTGTTGTAACACTCGATGGAAAGACCTAGTGCTGAACAACGCTGTTGAGATTCGATGCCGGGAAATTTCCGTCCGGAGAAATCAGCGCCTAAGAAAGTTTATGTGCCTGCAACAACAAGGCAAAGCACCCTTCCCCCAAAAAAGTATCAAACCTTTTTGCTCGGGACGCACGGGCTTCGTGCAGGGATGGCTTGAAAAAGTTTATGTGGGTCGCCAAAAACACAAGAAAAACCACTCTACATAATGGTAGCACTTGCGTCGACTGTATATGCAGTGAGAAGGCCTGTCTGTTACAACCTCGCCTCGCGAGTGGAATATGCTACTATTCCCAAGCTGCGATCTATGTGTTCCCGCACAGCACACAAGGACCTGTAAACTGGCAGGGGCCTGCCTTCTGGCTGCCGGTCCCTACTATGTCGTCCCAATACCAAAAGTTTATGTTCATGTGCTTTTTTCGCTCTTGATATTGTACACACATACACACACACACATACATTCACACATAAGATGCTGACAATAAGTGATAAACTCAAACACACACACACACACACATGCAGTTCATCGAAAACGACTACTGTGATCTGCCCCCCTCCGCCTTCGCTGCCCCCTCAAAATTCGAGTCCCCTCAGGCGCGTATCGGCATGAAGGAGGCTTCTTTGATACCGGGAAATGCTTGCTCGACTACGCCCTCCCTGCTTCTCTGCAGGAAACTCAGCCTTATGCTGCATGAAACGTGCTGTCTGGAACTTCTTGCTTAGAAGTTCTCAAGTACTCAAGGACTGCCAAGGTGGTTTGCCAACCAGCTCTCATCTCAACGTCTACCACCCGAAATTTCAAGCTAGTAGACTTCGCCGTCTGCCAGTACGGTTCTCACCAAAGCAGTCCTTCTGTGTTTATGTTTGCGGGTGAGTTGGCACCTCTCTTTCGGTATTGTTCGCGAACTTATTCGGCATCCTCGACTGTTCCCAGATTGAAAAATCGGGCATTGAAATGTCCACTCACAGCGGTATGCAGGAAACGTAGGGTGCCAGGCACATCTACTCACTGTGAGTCGATGGTCAGGCGGCACTGGAAGGGTCGGGGTCCGGGGTGTTGCATTCACAAAGAAGCAGGTGAGGTCATGCTGCAGTCCTTCCGCACGATACGCTGCATGGAGCCTCGAAGCGGGGCGGCAGATGAATCTTCTCGTTGCAAACCTGGCATGTTGCAAACTGCTTGAGCAGCTCATTTCAGGACGTCGGCTTATTCATCTTGTGACATCTCAAGGTCCGGTTTAGATTGTGACGCCAACTTGTTCTGAATCGTGCACAGGTTTGGACTTACGGGCCGTGCATGCTTCCGAAATAGCATTCGAGGCCCAGCGAAGAGTTGCACTGACTTGCTACCCTGGCCTCACACTCTGGTACGCGTGCCATCGCCATCTTGGGCAATCTGTATAGTCCAGGCACCGCGAGGCAACAAGCAGATTTGCGCACTGTTGGACTCATGTTTAGGCGAGTCGTGGCAATCGATCTGACAATCTGCTCAGCCAGCACGAGTCGTGGCTTCAGCGTCGCACTTTGTTGCGTTGTTCCACAGCATCGCAGAGCTAAGCCACTAGGAGCACATGTTATGCAGTGATAAGCTTGAAGCAATCCGGCAAAAACATAGACATGTGTGCTGGCACTCCGCCCTGTTCACACCACCTTGCACAGCCAAGGCTTGAGCTCCTTTTTGCAACGAAGCACCATGCGCCTCCGGTGCTTGAATATCTTTAGCAACCTGGGGACCTGGTCTGCTCTCAGTCCCATGCAGGTCGTGGAACACCGGGCTTGAAAACGCCACAAATGATCGACACGGCATACGCAATCCCAAAGCCGATGTCCACCACTCCATGTTGAAAGATGCACGATGGATCATAAAGCTTTAGATCCGAAGCACCTGTGATGGGGCCCATGATGCCCATGGCAACTTGGTAGCTTATGGTCAATGTAGCAAGGATCACAGGACTTTTGGGAACATCATTCCATCGCTTCAGGATGCCGTAGAAGAAGGGGGATGTAATGCATGCCGTGTTGATGTTTGCATAATTCAATCTCATCTTCGCCGGGCCCACCATGTTGGTTAACCCCGCAACAATCGGAATCTGTGTTGCTACATACAGCACGAGATACGCCCAAGGCAACTTCTTGTCTTTCGGCACGTAGCAGAGCAGCGACAGAAAGCCCGGAAGCGCAATTCCAGCACTGAATGCGTAAGCAAAGGCGAAGTTTGCATATGGCAAATGATGGCTAAAAAAGTGCAGCAAGATATGTGTGACAGCTTCTGGCACAAAGAGCCAAGAAAAGAGTCTGTCAATTGGATCGCTGCGATTCTTCTCACGCCAGAACAAAGCGGCGAATACCATGATGGCCTGGATGGTTGAGGTGGTCCTCAAAGCTGGATGAGACAGGTGTGGCCCATACTCAAGGTCGAAGTCACTCAAAGACCGATCATAGGAGAAGTTGCCCAAGCAGAACAGGAAAGGCACCAAGGTGATCACCAGGCAGAGCTTCACCAAATTGTAGGCATACGTGTTGTTGCTCTTGCTGGGGCTTTCGGGTGTCTCAGCTGTTTCAGAGAGCATGTTGGTGCCGGATGGCGTCGGCCTCTTCTGCATCTTTCCAACAAATGTCAAAGTCGCCATGGAGATGGCCATGACACTCTGGCCGCGGCCGCTGTGGGTAGACGGAGTCTTTGGAACACTTCCGCTTGCTGCACTCTTCCACTGCGTCACTTTGGGGTATGCCGCCGACCCTGGGGCCGTGAACGCAAGAGCCATCGCACTCGTTGCACGACCGAGCCCCTTTCTCAGGCCCTAAGGGCTTTCTCTTTGCTTACCCTTTGGTCCAGTCTGCGGAGGAACAGCTAGGGCCGTTATCGCCGCTATCGTTTTCTTCGCCGTCGCCTTGATGCAAGCTTTCGGTCTTTTTGGTCGCGATCAGGAGAATGGAAAGCTATAGGCTTGCTCCAACCCGTCATATAAAACATTGGGTGAAATAGCTGCCCTCACAAGTGCAATCCCTGTAAAAAGGCTTCATTGTCTGGAATGGCATTGGGAACGCAAAAGGTGCCGCAGCTCATGACTGCAGTGTACAGTGCAGATACAATCAAAAATGCAGTATTTGTATTTGGATGAACTTGACACAGCACTCCGAAAGGCCTTTTGTGAATTGAGATGCCAAGAACCTGAATCAGCATCACTACTGCTGTGGCACCGTTCTTGTGGCAAGGCAGCTTCTGGCCCAAAGGAAAAGAAGCATCGAGCCTCAACTACTCAAGCTTGCGCAGGAACCACTTCACAACTGGCCCTCCGGATGGCGACGAGTCAGCTTCGAGAACGAGGCTGTCCTCTAAACAGTCCATAACTTCCAACTAGGCGGGGCACGCATTCGGAGCCTGCCTCCTCAATGTAAAACCGATGAACATCGATGACCTCACGATCTGCAAACAGCGCAAGGGCACACTGCGACAACACCTGCCAGTATTGCCAGGTCACTTCCCCACCACCAGCAGCCTCACTTTCGCTGGCTTCTTTCTTTGCTTCTTCGTCCTTGCTACCTCTACAGTCACCCAGGCGACTGCCAGCTTCGCACAGCGCTAGAGAATTCTGCTACGCTCCCTCATCCACCCACTTCTCACTCCAACCACTGGCAACAGGACTTCCCCGTGTCCATTATACAACCACACCGAGCTCAGAAAGCAGCGCATTCTCGAATTGAGAAGTTCCCGAGCATCCTTTCAGTTGCTGAGAAGCGAAGGCAGAGGTGGGCCGTGGGCTCAGAAGGACAACACAACATCCTAAGGAAGCCAAGTGTCCTGTCCAGCCAGAGCTATGTGACAGCAGTTCAATTGATACAGTGCGCGATTCTGACCACTAAGTGCGATCCCGTGGCATGCGACTTCTTTAACAGCATCACATGGCATGGCCCGAGAGCACAGTGACGGCTTTCCCTCGATGTCGTGGCAACCAGCTGTGGCTGATTTCGATTTCAGCTGTGCTCGTCGCCAGCAAGCTTTGAGGATTCGCGCGCGGGCCAGAGAGAAGACAAGTACACAATGCGCCAGAGAGAGAGAGAGAGAGAGAGAGAGAGACAGAGAGACAGAGAGAGAGAGAGAGAGGCGACAGGGAAGTGCGAACTTGCAGCTTTGCACGGTCAACGGTACCGGGGCAGCGGATAGGCTCGGTTTAAGTTTAACGGTGTCCTCCGAGAGATTTGGATTTAGGATCGCAGCTCGGAAGATCCATCTCGCAGACAAATTCACTCTCTGACTTTGCTTTCCCCTGCACACTGTAGAATCTGTAGAACCGCATGATCTTCCCCAGTGCTTTCATTCTGTGCATATTAACCATGGCGCATTCGGGGGTCGCATCATGTACGTAGGGACGAAGACAGTGATTGCCCTCAGCCAATGCCTCGCCTCCAAGGACTGACTTTGTCCAGCCCTGAGTCTGCTTCGCAGGATTCATGTTCCTCGGACATGTCAGGCTTTGGCTCCAAGCTGCGAAGCAGAATCGGAACTTGAATTGAGCTGAGTGGCGTAACCCGCAAGACGGAGTCTGACTCCCACACAGGGTCCACAAGGATCTTAGCACCGCCCATGCGGGTGATCTCCTGGACTCCATTGCCCACCTTGTACTTTTCTGTGAAGCCAAGACCTCCAAGCCCTGGGCCCTGGAAGGAATAATCCATCTCGATGTCATCTGCTGCTTGTGCAAACTCTCGAACATTCTGGTTCTTTCCGGCACCCCAGTCCATTAGCTGCAAGCCTTTCCGTGCCAGCCATGGCAGGCCAGCAGCCTTCCAGTATGCATCGATGTCTCCTTCCGTCTTGTAGCAGCCCCACTTTCCGCTCAAGCCGCTCCCGCCGAATCCTGCAGACCGATGGACGCGGCTGAATCTCGGCTTGAATGCCGGTGCGCTGAAACCTGCGAGCAATGCCCTGTCATGCAGACCATCCTGATCCGTGTGATACTCAGAACCCATTGCCCGCAGTTTGAACTCATTTTGCCCTCGTGCAGGTCTCGATGGGCCTGCAAATGAAGTCGGGAAGCACAATCTGGCTGTGCAGAGCACCACACCGATCAAGAATATGCCGCGAGAAGATCCCATCGTTATGTCTCGAACAACTGACTACGCTTTCCTGGTCGAGGCTTGTCACGCTCTTGTATGCATCTCTAAGCATCGGAAAAAGTCGACGAAAACTGGCACGTTGCATGTCAGACCCGTGGCCAAACCACTTCTCTGAGCCATGGAAGCACGAGCTGTCCCAAGGCAGGCAACGAGAAGGCTGGGCCCTCTCTGCCACAGTAGCTGAAAACAAGCTTGCAACGCTCTTGTAACCGCATTACTACGTTTTGGACTGCACTTTCAGGAAAAGTGGCTGCGACTTTGGCAAGTTTCTCGACAAAAGACGTCTTGGCAGTACAGCCAGTGCGCTTGCGCAGCTTGAAAAGTGCAGTCACAGGGTCACAGGCTCCTGAGGGCAAGAAATCAACGCAATCTTCAACATGACATGCTTCCAGTAGCACTGCCACAGAAGAAGCCGATGAGATTCTAAAGGGCTTTCATCGCATGCCCGGGGATTCCTGACTTAGTTCGTTTGAGGCGAGGGGCTCATGCGAATGCATATCCATCTATCATGGTAGAACCACACGTGCTGCCCGACTGGCTCCCTGGGGAGTCCAGTCTTGTCCAGGGAACTTATATATGCAGACACTAAGGAATAACAGAATAGCATGCTGAAAAACCATGAGTACAAGATGCTGCTACAAACACAAACCCACAAGTGGTACAGATGACACGAATGCATGTATGCAATGAATTCGGAGCGTGACTTGCCGAGACAGTGACGCCAAAATCTCTGGCAATGTCGGCTCAGATGTCTTTCTTGCAGAGTGCACAAAAAGTGGCTCCGAACGAGAGAAATACAGGGCACCTTGGGCCAGGGTCCCGATGCTTGTTCTGAATCGGCTGTGTGCTTCACCAGTTCCCGATTCTTGCCAAAGCTATTGCTTATGTGGGATGACTCTGTGATCTCAGACTAATCGGCTTGGAAATGCGACGGAACCTGGGAACCTGCCTCGGCAGTCAGAGGAGATCCGCCGATTCCCCCTGGAATTGAATGGCCTGATGGGTGTCCTTGCAGAGGTGAAGGAAAGGCGGGACATTGGTGAAAGGTTCCTAGAGTCGCGGCTGATAGACTGACAAAACAGCTCATCGCAGTGATGCCATTTGAACGGCAAGGTACGCACGATCGGTCGAGACACCCCCGCCAGCCTCTAAGAGCTTCGTCGAGCAAACGAAGTCTTGTACCACATTGTCGAAGCAAGCCTCCTGCACCGACAGCACCAGAGAGGTTTGGCACGTGACCTCCCCGGGCAGTTAGTTGATACTGAACCAGCAAGCCTTCTCCAAACTGTCGAAAGCGTGATTGCTGCTGTCGGTGGTCGCATGCTCAACCTGCTCTGTTGTTTTGTGCGAAGAAGACTTTTGCATGCTTTGCATGCGCTTTGGAGTTCAAAAGCTTACATTCGCTGACGGCACTTCCAGCTTTGGGCAGTCTCTTCTGACTGTAGCTTTGGCATTGCAAGCGGGTTTTGGATGAATGCATAACTACTGGGCTTGAACCTGCTCAGTGCAAAGCTCAATGTTGCAACCCTCAACGCTTCAACCTTACCGTCAGACGAAATAATCATGCAGGGATGTCGCATCTGACGATGTCGTCGCCACCTTTCGCCTTGCCGCCTGCACCGAACTGCTGTCAGGGCAAATGGTATGTGTCTGCACCGAGATGCTGCCAGTGCAAATGGTATGTGTAATTAGCTATTAGATATCAACCAAAGAACGCATAGTAGTTATAGATGGCCTGATAATCGCCAAGCACCACGGACCAGACTGTTGGCATAGAAACCACCACAAGCGGCACCTGCAGAACATGCAGTAGTACATGTCCTCTCCGCTGAAGCCGCTCCGAAAAATAGCTAGTGAGCCCGTGAGCCTGCAACTCCACCGATCACTGCACCGACCACGGGCACGGGAATCGAGGCCTCACGGGGAGGGTCAAAGCGCAAAACTTTCAGAAATGCGTGTATCCGCGGCTATACGTGGTGCTTTTTGGCATGCTGACGCGCTGGGCCTGACCGACCGCGGCTCCCGCCAAGCTTCCAATAGCCCGGCCAGAAGAGCTCACGGTGCTCTCGCAAATTCGCTCCTGAGTCACACAAGAGCACGACTTCCAAGTATTAACCGAACTGCAGCTGCGGAGATACTCGGACACTCCATGTTTACGGTGTCATGCCTGTGCTTTCTGTCCGACTGCTGAGATCTGAGCCGTGAATTGCTCCGAGCTGATGTTCTTCCCTTCGAGCTGCCTGAAATATCTCCACATTCACACAAGGAGCCGCGTGCTACATTAGTTTCGCACCAGTACACCGCGTCCGGACCATCCCAAAGCTGCGCAGTATTTCATGATGCCTGCTGGATAGTTTCATGCATCACGCTTTGCTTGCTGTATGCTTGTGCAGTTGAGCACGAGCTGCGATGCTTTTCACCGTAGCATCCGCATCTGGAGCTAGGGCCAGTAACAAAAATACAGTTGACCTGTCGCAGCAGTCCAAAGGCAAGTCACTGTCAACTCCCCTCCTGCTCTAGTCATTCTGTCGAGTGACTCGCAATGCCGACCAATTTCTTTGTACAACCTGGCGCAAGCGCAACGATTTGAGGGATCCCGGAAAGTCATTCCGTCCGAGATTGCATGGCTGTCACCATCTTTGCGCGCAAGCTCTTCACCTACGCCAACATAAATATATACTGATTTAAAAGCACAATAATAGTTGTCTCTACCTGCAGCTTACTCAGATACTGCAGCCATAGGCGTGATGCTTGTAGCGCACGAAGCAGGACTGCGACTTCTACAAGGCACATGGTGCGTGCATGTTGCGCTCTGCATCTGAATGGTGCCACAGCCGCGCATAGCCCTCGACAGTCATAGCGGCAGCAGCTCCAGCCACCCGCGCTGCAGGCCTGGGCAGAGACAAGACTCACACTGACTCAAACTAACGCTACATGCTACATGAGCCGGCCACCCACGACAACCGACGTGGATAGCGGTGGAGATAGCTTTCTCCTATAGCCGTCAACGGAAATTTTCATAGCCGACCATTGTACTTCCACGGACTTCCAGTTTCTTGCAACTTCGAAAAGGGATGGATAATTATTCTACACATCTGGAGGATGTGCAGATTAGCTTGCGTCTCTATGTTGGTGTCCATCGGCTCGAGCAGATCGCTATGCGTGCTCACGGCTCACTGTCTCAGAGCGTATTTCTTGGCATAAGCTGACAGCTTCTGCAAACGGAAAGCGTCGCAAACAGTGGCCCCGACATCTCGGCTCACGGTGCCGTTGACCACTCACCCGACTAAATGAAACGACGTTAATGCTACTGTAACGTCATCCAGGCTACACCGCATGAGGCGGACAGAGGACAGTATCAAGTATCGAGTGCTGACAGCTAGTGCAGCTAGCTGGAGACTAAAGTCCTGAAGCTTGTCTGGGACTGTGCGCAAGCCACCTGAGTGCAGAACATCAGCTGAGCTGGTGCAAGCATGGTGCTGCTTCAGTGCGCGGAAGAATATCTTCAACGGCTGCCGAGGGTCTCTCTGCCGAGAATACAGCCTTCGCTCGCGTCAATGACGGATTCCGGTCGCCTGGTGCAGTGCGATGCAAGACGACGAGGTTCAGACCATGGGCTGCTTCGAGTGTGGCACCCCCGAGTCTGTGCTTCGGAAGAACACTGTGGCCAAGACATGGCGACATGTGGCCAACTTGGGAAATCCGGGCCTCTAAAATACGAAAACGCCACCAAAGCGAGCCAGGGCCCATCAAAATGCATACCTTCGCATTCTTATGCGTTGCGGTCCATCTTCGAAAGCACGGTCTATAGTTTGCGCACCTTAACGGCCTTAACGGACATTTCCTCGCATTGTTGAGCATGTTCGGTCACATGTCAAAGCGCATGTTTGTTCGTGACTCATGCGAAATATCTCAGTTTTGCAAGTTCCATGCACCACCATTTTCAAGTTCAAAGACCCGGGTTGTGTCTTGGATTGCCTAATCAATTGTAGCCGTCTCGACCGCTGCACATCGGAATAGCTATATGAGCCTGTCGACAAAGGTTGCAAAGACACCCTTGCCGCCGAAGCAACCATGGTTCAAATGAAAGCCCTCCAGCTGCTGCACAGAATCACTATGTCACATGGCGAAGCTGCCAAACTGCAAGAATCGATCTGTGCCTGCGCTATCATCCACGTTTGCCAAGTCATCGGGCCTGCAACCAAATGACGGGAAAACTCTCAAGAGCAAATGTCGCAGCTGGCCTTGGCAGCGCAAAGGCCTGCAGGTGGCTCGTGATCAGCTGGGATTTCTTGGGAACTCGTGACTGGTCACTCGCGCCTGCAAAGGCTCCTGCTGTGAACGCTCCGGATTCAGCGCGACTTGCCTGCGCGGCTTTGCGACATTTTGCGACAGGCGCAGGATCGTGCAAGCATTCAGCGGAGACTTCACTTTGGAAGTCTGTCTCTGCACAGGTCAACTCTTCGTAAAGATTGGATGCTGTCTCGCCCCACCCCTTCCGTGCTTCTGCCTGAGCGACGCACCCAACGGCGAATACACAAGCTCAGGCTCCCCTTTGCTTCCGTAACTCCGCTTCTTCTCTTCTTCTGGTTTCTCAAGGTTATTGTCTCGAGCTTGGCGTCCCCCAAGGCATGCGCACTAAAAACCCCCACCCGAATGGACGGGGAAAGGATCGTCGGGGAGAATACGGGCTTGGCGATCGATGCCACGCCGGCTTCAAATATGGCGCTGTTGCTTCTGGCTGGAATCTCAGGTGCAACGGAGCAAGAATTGCCGGAGTTCGGGCCATCAGGCCATCACTTCGATGTCTGTGACCTCGACTAGCATGTGGGGTTGCTGGTGCTCAGCTGGGTAAAGACTGCTCTGCCTCGCATTCCGGACCGGACCGAAGCACGGTCCTTTGAGCTGCTGTCGCTATCCGAATCTGTAAACTTTGAGCAATGGCTTCATGCCACACCATGCCAAACGAAACTGTTACCCCCAAGGCGTGCAAAAGCAAACAACGTTGCATGAAAAGCAACATCCAACCGTCCCGTCCTTGTCAGCTTGTGAGCCTCCTCGACATTCCAGATACGACACCTTGTGGTGCTATGAGGCGCTAAGGTGGATTGATCCCACAAAAAACCTTCTGCAACATTCCAGGGGCACGACATGCCAGTGATGCAGAAGGTGATCAGGCTCTCTGCCAAAACCTGGAGTGCCATTATTCTATCACGAATGCTCTCGTGCAACAGCGGAATGCACTTACGACCAGAGGCCTCGTTGCCGGCTGTCAGTCCTGCCTCTCGCAGGCGGTCTCGGACCTGTGAAGACCGCAGGCTTCGATTCGTTCTTTCACAAGCCCCCCTTAGTCTTTTCAGTGTTGCAGTTCATTCCTGGCTCATTGCTTCAGTCGAGTCGACTTACCACCGAGAGCGAAGTCCGGAAAAGAAGTCAGTTCATTTGTAGCACGACACGCGCCGAATTGAATCGAGGTGGTTTCAACTTTAACGAATTGTTGCTACCCGGCTGCTACCCGTTGTGCTGACTGATGCAAACCTGTTTTAAAATCTGAACCAGGTTCCTGCGACTTACGTAGTTCAGATCCACCCACCGCGCCTCTTAGGTAACTTTCACCCTTCTATTGATGTCCGTTTGGCGTCTGGGTTCATGAACCCCCTCATCACCGAGATGTTTCTAGATCTTGTCCTTATGTACTACCCCATCGACTTTCAAGAAAGTTCACGTACGTGCCGCTGCCGCTTGCAGTCTCTACGATGCTACCGTCAGCGAGTAGGACCCACAGCCATATCAAGAGGCAACCTCAAGCAGGTAACCGTTCGACTTGTCAGCCACCAAGTGTCCTTTAGTGACCGTCCTTTGTGACAGCCGCTGAAGACATCCAAAGCGTCAATGGGGTGCTTAAACGAAACCAGTACGTTAGATCTACTCGAGAGCATACCGAAGTGACCAGCCCGCTGCTAGGAGGGTGCTGTAAGATGTATCTGCATAAGTCAGTGGAACTACTGCTACTCGTAAACGGCTAAAGCAACACTGGAGCTTACATGGCACAAGGCCACGAACGTATTAACGGAACTCTGGAGAATCAACCGCGCCAGCGACGCTTACCTCAGCCTCAACTCTAGCAATTGCACATGGAATTTGTAACCAGGAACGACAAGTCAATTCCTCAAGAGCAATTCTTTGTTTGCCTTGCTCGACCATGAAGTCTTGCAACCCTCGCGAGGGGGATCCTTAAATCCAAACACTGAAGCCGAAGATGTCTCAGAGGCCTTTCAATCAACTGGCGACCAGACTAGACAGGCAGGCTGCAAAAGGGCTACCAGGGTCGGGCCTGTGGAACATCTAAGCCAATGAAGCTCTTGGCACGCTCGAGGACCTTGGCTCTAGAGCCCTAAAATTCACGTGAGATCTGTGTGCAGTCTCACTTGACACTTCACCCAGAGCTCCTGGCTTGTGTGCACTCGACCTGCCGGAGTCGCACATTCTGCAGCACCCAGTAAGCCATTAAATGTCCCCGCTACGAGTATTGACGTGCCGCTAAAGCCGAGGCTTTCCGGCTGTCGCTTTCGACACTTTGCCCCTGCCGTGCTCGTCTACCGTTGCTCGACGGGACGTGCTCACATCCGCAGCAAGAAGCTCGCCAGGGTTGTGCCAGCGCTGGCCGCGTTACTATCGAGTTGCCTTGTCGTGTGGCTCCTCGCTGCCGCTGGTGTGCAGGGTGTATATAGAGCGAGTGAGAGGTGAGTGCGTGTGTGCATGTGCTCGTTGTGCTGAGCAACGTTGGCCGTACCTCTCCGGTCCTCGAATGTCGGCTATCCCCAGTGGAGAAGGAACATTCGTCGAACGCTTCACGAACGTCTCATGCAGTCGACAGACGTGGCGTCAACCCATATCCGATTTGCACAACTTAGACTTCAAGTGGCATCCAGACCCTGCTGCAACGCGACGTGCTTCCCGGATCATGCAAATTGCATGGAGCCTCGGATAAAGGCCCGAAAGGAGGCGGGTAGATGACCACCGAAGCTGACGGCAACCGGCGTGAAACCTGCTGTCTCTCGTCACACTCGCTTGACTGGCACCGCTGCTCGGGGCTCCCCTGTTCGTTGGGGATGTCTACGAGTCTTCTGCAAGGTCGCAATGCATGGGTCCGAGATCGCAATGGGCCCGCAGAGTGCTCAAAACAAGCGATAGCGGAGCCTGGAAAGTCTGCACGCGTCCACAGCGCAAGGCGAAGAAGGAATCTTTGAGCCGCAGAGCCTGTAGCAACTTGCCATTTGCTGCCTGGAGCAAGTGAGCGAAGTGAGCGAAGGCAGTTTACAAGGCTCCTCCTTCGACTACGGCGCTGTGCCTCAAGCACCGTGTGCTGCCCGGGAGCTACTCCGCAAAGATCGCCATCCGCAAGAAGATCTATCCTGCAAGCCGCACAGTCTCCACTGGCAAGTGCGCTATCCACTGAATCAGCAAAAAGCCCAGAACTCAGAATTCAGAATCCATGCGCCTTATGGATCTCCCTGTCTCCACCATGGCGTCATCACGAAGAAGACATCTAGCACTTCTCACCTGAAACCTTCTTTCGTCTATATACAGTGGCTGGTCGGAGCAAAGCCTGGAAGCTGGCTTGCCCAACCTCGATGTGTCTCCCTGAAGTAGCTTCCCCAATCTTGTACATCCTTATTCAGTGGGGCTGTTATACTGCTACCACATGCCACTGACCCAACTGCTTCTCTCCATCTACCCTGCGACGGCATGCAGCCCCTGCTTGAAGACGGGAAACGGCCACGACGGAGCATCATCTGCTTCTGAAGGAGACTCGGAGACCGAGAGATGTCTGCAAACACTTGTGAGCGCACCGTGCGGAATATAGGTTGTAAGCTCAACGATGAGCGACCTCCGAGTACCGACCTGAGTAGACCTGGGACCCCGGAACCTCTCAAGATTCTCACTGATTGTCTCAGCAGGTGATGTGATGGACAACGCAATCCAAGTTGTTCTTGAGACATTCCCGTGCTGGATTTCTGGCGCTTCAGCCGACACGAAACCGATGGTAGGTGCTTGTGCAAAGGCATGTCGGATTCATGGTAATGGAAATCACACGGAAGTGTGGACCACCAGCAAGTTTTCAATGGATGCCAGCCAGCACGTGCAGTTGATGCTGCAGTACGCAATGCTGCAAAACTGCTTCTTGACAGCAGTCACGGTCTGCGTCGCGGCGACATGGCAAGCAGCAAAACCACCAGAGCAGCCATGCCAGAAGCTGCGACACCCTGCACGCGGTTGCAAGCGGTTGCAAAACAGGGCCCAGCGCAACACTCAACCGAACATAACCGAACATGGCGGAAGTCTCTTTGCCTATCAACAGCACAGCTTCGCGACTTTCTGCCAAGACAAAAACAACACACGTCGATAACACCTCAAACCAGGCTACAATGGCTACAACTGGGCACCAGAACTTTGCTAAGCCAAGCCAAGACAAGCACTAGTTGGGCGACTGACACTCCGTCCTTCCGGTATTCCTTTATGCTTCAAAGGGCAAAAGTTTTCAATGATCCCATTGGCGAACCCCGGCAGCAACACCATGCAAGCTTGGTCATTTGCGGCCGTCGACAAAGGTCCAGGACTTCGGCAGATCTACAAGATCTCCCGTTCGGCTGGTTGACTCCAGCTTCTTCTCATCAATCATTTCATCACTGCATGCATATCAGGAAATAGTTTTGGGCAGGGACCACGCTTCGTTGATGGCTTCGGTGGAAATTAGATTAGCGTAGTCGGGGTCAGCTATCGCGAGACTTCGTCGACCCGGAGTCACGGACATGCGAAGCGCGGAATGAGGGCAAAGCCATGTCTCCAGCACCGATGCGACTTACGGCGTCGTTGCTCAGAACGGCAGGGTTTTCGGGAAGCCGGAGGCTGCTTGTTGCTTTTCAACCTGTGTGAGATCGACGTATGATTTCACCGCTTTGTTGCATTTGTCTTCATGGATTTCTTTTGTTGGACTCTGGTTCTTAGTCTAGTGTCCACCCTCTGCATACGGCTTAGCTGCATTTACATCACTTTAGCTTGCTGCACACGGCAGTTCGTTCGCAGCGCTTGCAATGCATGGATTCCTCGTCGTCTCGTCGTGTCGTTTCTGCCCTGCTAGTTTTGCCCTACAAACGGGACGATCTGTGGCGCTATGGGGTTGCGGAAGCTGGGCCAGCATGTCTAAATGCCTGACAACAGAGAAATCTGCTAGCTACAGCTACACAGGCTCGGATTCTCTGAGAGGGAGAGGAAGCGAGGCAGTGTTCTGCCTTCCAAAAGCCATGGCAGTGCACCACCGCACACTCGCGGAAGAGGTGATATCGCTTGCTGCCACCTCTACCAACCTGACATAATCCGACGTGCGAAGACTCACTTGGATCTGAGCTGCAGCAGCTAGTCTCCCGCTACTTTGCTGGCAAGGCACCCGAGCCCACTCAGCGGATTCAGTAAATCCGATGTTCTTGAGCTGGACCCCGCTTCTTTCGCATTCACTCATGTGGTCGCTGCGGTTCCAATATAGCCTGGGGCTTCATGCGGCTTCGTCGTGCTTGACAAATGACGGCATGAGGTTCCCCAATAAGTACAAAAGTAAAACACCCACCCTACTGACTGCGAGTCCTTCCGTTACTGGCACGGCAGACCGCTAGAATCTAAAACTAGAACATGATGCACGAAAGGTTGTTCAGAACTCCACCACACCAATCTAATGATTTATTTTGCTGTGTTGCAGGTAGACGTCCACCTGGTATGCTCCAGCCGGCGGCCTGCAGCAAACACAGGCTGAATATGGCTGAATCCTTTCAGGAATTATCCCCCATCGGTAGCGACAAAAGCAGAAATCAAGCACAGATCTCGCCCCGAAACGGCAAGCACAGATGCAGACAATGCGAAAGCCCTGCCGACTGCCTCAAACCGAGAACGAAGTGGCTGACGCCTGTGTTGTTCATCGGCCAGTAACCTTGGCTGCGCTGATTCGCTGATCATGCAAACGGCGTCTGACGGGACTCTGAGCTTCGATAGCTCTCGGGCCTGCGGCATCCAAGGAATCCTAGGGGCTCTCGTTGAAGAGCTGCTCCGGCTCGGTCGCTGCGACATCGACCGCTGCATCCGCCGAAGGAACCAGCAAGAGTCGCCTTCCAAACCCCAACAATAGAATCTGCGGAAAGCTCAGCCGCTCAGAGCCGCGCCCAAGCAAGCTAAGGAAATCGTTATGCGAGACAATGACCAGAATGTCCTGGATGCGTAAGAAGGAAACGACAGCGGCGTTCAAGTAGACTGTCCTCATCATGGCCTGATTTAGCCCAGCTCTTCAGCATCTTCACGAGTCGTGAACCTCGTGCTGCGGCCTAAGTCCAGGCTGTACTCAAGAGGCTCGACGGCCCTGGAAGGCTTCGAACATCTCCCCAAGTCTTCCGGACCTCCGCAATCGTCTCTGGTCCTGATTACTCCGCCTTTGATGCTTGGGCCCATTCCATCCTACCTGGTGCAGCTCCTTGGCCATCTGGAATCAAGGATGCATCGAAACCTCCAAGCTGAAGCATCGAATGCTCGGACATGCTAGGAGGTGAACCGAATCACGAACGATCACGAATGCACGAGCTACAATGCTTATGGTATGGACGTGCCATGCAGAGCGAAGGAGACATGTCACCTGATGGATAACCGTGAAGGTCGAGCAGCATGTGACCATGGCTGAACACACGCATCAACAGCTAGCAGCCATACGAGAGCCAATCCCAACCGCCTGGAAACTGCCGTTCTATCGCTTGCTTTCCTGAGCCACAGACCTTGGACTTCGGATGCGAAGATCTCTCTTGGCCGCACTCACTCCTGCCGTGTTGTGTCATGATTTTGCAAGCTGTGGCCGGAGCGGGCCCCTCTCCGCTCGTATTGTAGAAGCCCTGGTTTTGTTCGCAAGCACGTGCTGCAGGATGTCAGCCGGGGAACCCCAGAACTCAACATTGCAGGTCGGCTCGCCTTGACTTCATGAACATCCGGGTGCACCTTCACTGGCAGCTGCAGCTCCTTCGCCAACGGCTCGATCGTCTGAAGAGCTCGCCTAAAAGACATGCAAATAGAATGATCTCTCTAGGACGTGGTAGTGTAAGAGACGCACGTCATGCTGCTGCACATCAGCTTCAATCTCTTTCTCGAACTGACCATGTCGGGCCGTTTGCAGCACAGACTCGCACCACTTGCAAAGGGCTCTTTTGCGATTGCAAACCCCAAGGCCCCTTGGGGCCTGCGAAGTTGGGCTCCAAGGCGCTTCCCCAGAAGTTCTGCCTGTGAGGACGGGCACGACAATGTGGCTCTTCGGAAAAGCGGGCAACTGGGGCGGGACTCAGCTGACGCCTGAAGAATGCCGAGGTCGGACAGAGGAGGATCAATGGACCTCTTGTTGTTGAATGCGCTTCCTGCGCCATGTTCAGCCTGAAAAGTACAAGGGCACCAAAGAGCTCCGCAATAGGAAGGCATTGATTCTTTATTGTCATTGTGCCTCAAGGACATTGTTATTGGACTGGCCGTGCCGGATGAGGAGCAGGTGCATTGCATCGGAGGACAGGCGAAATACTTGCGACGTAACTCTCACTGGAAACGCATGTTGCTATCTACATACATTAAAAGATGGTCATCCGACGCTGGAGGTTGAGGAAGTGTTTGCCTTAAAATTGACTTCTCCTCAGCACTTGTTGGCTCCTGTGGCCGGCACTAAACTTTGGCTGGAACATTTGTCTTAAAGGGAAACACTTGCCCCGAGGGCTAGTTCTTGCGTTTTCACGGCTACACAGGAAAACGCTGTCTAACCCCTACTGCAGCGACAGCGCTGGATAAAAAAACATTGAATAGGAAATCCAGCCCCTGGATTTGGGCGAACATGTGCTAGAATCTCCCACAACCAAGCAAAAGGAAACAAGAAGTTCAGGGTCCCCTACCCCCGAAACCCAATGTCTTATCCAATTTCTTAAATGCTGCCCCCAAGACCAGAAGCGCAGGACCCTAAACACGTTACAGTACCTTGAAATTTGGGCTGAAGGCCTCGGGATTTGAAGCACCAGGCTGAAGGGGATAATAATGAGTACGTACAGCACTTAGAGCCGTAAAACTTAGCGGAAACCCCAATGGACGGGTTTAGGGTTCCTGCAGCAAATCGGCGAGAGTTTCGGAAGGTTGAAGATTTGATATGGATTTCGACCAAAAGCAGAGGAAATAAGAAATCCAGGGGCTGATGTCTTATTTCTTGGGTTTGCGGGCGTCCTAAAAACACAGGAAATAAGAAATCGAGGGGCTGGATTTCTTATTTCCTGTGTTTTGGTCCCCCCCAACACCCAGGAAATATGAAACCCAGGGGCTGGATGTCTTATTTCCTGGTTTTTGGTGCTGCCAAAACCAAGGAAATAAGAAATCCAGCCCCTGGATTTCTTATTTCCTGATTTTGCAAGCCGAAGAGGGCTGTGCAGCACAGCAAATCGGCGACAGTTTTCGAATTCGCCAGAAGTTGTGAAGCCTTTGCTGCACAGGGTAGCTGGCCGAAAGGGGAGGCGGAGGCGGTGGAGGATCCATGATCTGAACATCGCCATCCTCTAACAGGCGGTTTACTGCCGCCCCGGGCTCTTCGTCCAAGTTGAGCCCTGGACGGCGTCAGAGGCGCACGATACGTCTCCAATCAGTCCAGGGTACCCTAAACCTGGCGGGTATCAATTCTGACCCTGAAGAGAGCGCTATCTAAATAAGAAATCCAGGGCACACTGCCTCGGATACAGGAGTTTCTTATCCAACGTCGTCACTGTAACCCGCTTTGATCTGTGCACGTTTGCTTCGTCCATTGCAAGCAGTCGTGGCTTTGGCCCAGGCACCGCTGACCCGGCGCCCGAAAGACGGTCCTTGCATGAATGTTCGCGATTTGTTCGTGTTCACGGAAACCCTTGAACAGATTTTGTGCTTGCTTGTTCAGATTCATTTTTCGATCCTCCAGATGGTAAACACCTGTCCCCCGACGCTCTGTTCGAACACATCCACGAGACCACCATCGCGGTTGGACAGAAGTGCGGCCGCAAACGGCAAATTACTGGACGAAGCTAATACATGCTTGCTGGGCGGGACAAGCGAATTGTGATATGTACTGCAAGCATCGGATACTGCCTGCCGTCTTCAGTTGTTCGGGAAACATGCACGCCTGTGGCTTTTGCATTGGGTTGGGGCAGTGATGATGTCTCCTGGCTCAACCTGACTATGTCTTCTACGACAGGCATCTCCCGAGTCGAACTGCAGCAACACCAAGTCCGCTTAAGCAAGAATTCAGGAAAAGAGACCGAGCTTGATCAGATGTAGGCGTGTTTGCACAGCCTGTAAGTGCTCTGAGCTCCGCAGATCTCCCTAGTTTCACGTCGAATGCATGCGGGCGTGCAAAACGTAACTTGTTTTTATAACTTTAACCAGGTTTCCGGAGAGAAAGCACATAAAGGTACAGGTGTCAATCACAATTTGGTCCAATTTGGCTTCAGCTTCCACACTAGTTGATTTACCTGCATTTGTCGAGCATGAGCTCCACAGAGGACACAGAATTCTTTCCGCAACGCTGATGCCGGTGATGTGTCTCAGTAGCTATAGATGTAACTATGGTAAGGATGGCTACGTGCGCGCAGCCGCGGAAGCCCACTTTGAGGCTAAGCTGAATTCCTGAGGCTTCATGCTGGCATGTTCAGAGTTCACCATCAGCAGATGCTGAAGAGCAAGGAGCTGAGCATGACCTTGGCACGCGAAGAAATGAAAGTGTAAGTGCTCTCTGCTCTTTCAAAGACCTGGCACCATGCAAGCAAGACCGAGCTGTTTGAGCCATAGGCCCCAATCGCCATCCATGTTAGCCTGGGGTTACTCTTTCTGTCCTGTATGCCAGGAGAGCATCGATGCCTGCTCTGACATGGACTACAATGTCATATAATATATACAGGAGCATCCTGGCACGCCGTCCTTGGAGTATAACAGTGACACGAAGTACCTCCCAGGCAAGTACTCCGGTATGAAGGCGGTACGAAGAGCATGCACGCATGCTCAAGCAAGAGCCCATCAGCAGCTGCAATGATGCTGGACGTTTGTAAACCGGTTGTCTTTGCGGAATTTGTCTCGTCGGAAAAGCTCAGGTGCTCAGCGTGATTGTCGAGCTCCAGCGCGGCATTGCTGCAACAAACTCGCCCAGGGCTGGTAGCTCAGCTTCTTCCTTCAAAACTTGCGATCTGCATGCGGCACCCCTGGAGACGAAGACATCTTCGTTGCTCCACGGAGCAGTGGTCCTGCGATGAAGCTTCTTAGCAGACCTTGTGTAGTCTTCGACCAATTCCTGCCGTCAGCGTAGGTCGGATGAGCGACACAAGATGGCAAACGGCGGTGCCCCAGCCCCATTGCCCGTTGTCCTCCAGGACACAGCGGGGCAAATCACCCATTGCCATGCGATCAGCCAGCCAGGCTCCCTGGACAGAAACATTGCCGCTCTACAGAGTTCAGTTTTCGGGCGACCCGCCTTCACGACGTCTCCGAAAGCTAAGGCGATCCGCCATCGCTCCTGTCGCTTGTCTGCACGAAGCACAAGCAGTTTGACACCGGAAAACGGTCCGGTGCCTGCTTCGGCCGCTCGCACAACTCTTCTGGACCAGCAACTGCCGTCTCCCAATCAATCACAGCGTCTAGCTTCCATGCCTGCGGTGGCGGCCGAAGCAGATCAACCATCCATGTGGGAATCGTCTGTTTGCAGAGACTAAACTAAATCGCGATTGACACATGTCGGAACCCAGCGCACCGAATCTTCAATCCATTGCACCTCGTCCACTTTTGAAGCAAGCAGATTTCCATTGTTGATGTCTTGGTGCATGAGTATGGCGCGTCCCGACTCCGTTGCTGGACCTTTTGAAGCTGCGCATCGACACACAGACAGCACATCACAACAAGTTCACCTTTGCCACAGAGGGCCGCTCAGGCAACAACTTTCGCGCAGGAAGCGATTCAAGGCCTCACGGACACGGAAGCTAAGCTCTCCCTTTCCAACAAACACGGTAGCCGTTGATCGCCTCTGCAATTGCTGGAAGCTTTTGTGGTACCATTTCGAGCAGCCAATTCAAGTACTCGCTGAGCGTCTTGAAGTAAAGCCTATAGGAGATCGCTTCGCTTTGGCCATTCTGCTAGTTATGCAGAACACTAAACGGGTCCGAGATGCAACGGAGATGCATCAGCAGGCTCAACTGGAGCCTTCTTCAGTGTAGTCAGGATCTCGGCTTCCAGACGATGCCACTCATCTCGAGGTGCTTTCACGATGTCCTGCCGAAGAAGGATTCATTGACATTGATTGACAGCTAGCGGCATCCATGCAATGCATATCACCAAGCGAAAGAAACAAGGCCTCATTAAAAGCAGATACGCTGTTCCACTTGAGTATGTACTTGTCCACTGCAGTGGTTCGTGCTCGAAAAGGTTTCATTCCCGACACAAGCCTTACCGCCGGCCTCTACTGTTTGCGAGACGATGAACTCCTGCACAATGAAGTCTAAGTTGCCAATTGGTGTCTCGCAGGAGCCGGTGAGAATAACATCTGGAACTCGAAGTCCTGCTGGAGGTGGCTCCGTTCAGGCTCAGAGCTTAAGCGCGCCACAGCACGAAGTAAAGTGAGGGCTTCAGCAATCGTCTTAGTACAGTGGAGGCTTGCTGGCCTGAATTCCGAGCCAGCCGCATCGCCTGCTCGATCTGCTTAGCAGAGATGAAAAACGCCGGGGCATGATCTCCAACCTGTGCATGCGCTCCCAACTGCTGGCGTCGCTGGGCATCCGAGATTACGTTTGCAGGCCTCCGCCCCCAAAATTTGCACAATGACTCTGGAGTGCCCTTTCGAGTCCTGGCTGATGCTTGCAACTTCCTAACGGAGTCCTAGCATACTACGTATGCAATCACTTGCTTGGCTTCTGAAGGCCCTGGTTTGACTTATCGATCCCCGGGCTGGTTAGACGGTTAGACGCTCACGCTGAAGCGGATGCGGCCCGGCACACCAGGCACATGCAGCATGTGATGCAGATCCTTGACGAGGCAAGATCTTGAAACCGGCTTTGCGCCGTCGCGATTCTTCGCTTTCTAAACTCATCTCCGATCCATCTCGTCCCACGGAGAAATGTGACACGCCGAAGTCCACTTCAATGAGGAAAGTGGACAGTGGACAGTCGATCAAGGGTTGTGAGTTGCTCTGATACTCCACCTCGTTCGATGGCATTGGGCGATTGGAGCTTGAAACGCAGGCCTTTGGGATTTTGCAGTTTCCGAGTTTTGCAGCACCCTTCCTTTTAATTCGGAGCAGCACGAAGAAGTAGTCACCCAGCCGAACTCGCGTCAAGCACCTACTAAATCCGAAGCTCCGCACCATTTAGCCAAAGTGACTGATGCGTGCTCCAGGTTCGCGGAAGGCTTTCAGGCTAGCGCATCGCGGCACCGTGGATCTACTTGCATGCACCCTCCGATGCACAACTGCAGGGTTGGTCCATGTGCAAGAAGGACATCGTTAACTCGTTAACACATTGTTCACAGATAGTTTGAACGTTCAGCTCAAGGCTTGTATTTCTGGGCTTCCCTCGCGGTTTGTGCCTGTGCTGCCCTGCCTGTCGGCTGTCCGTACGCATGGTCGGTTCTGTCAGCACCGAGTACCGATTGCCACGCCCGTCTACCTGATCCATTTCCACGCGGATCTTCTTCGACATGGATAAGCCCTGATCACGTTGACTTCCACGGGCCAGAGACTCTCTGAGCGGACGTTTGCGCTGCACTCGGCCAGTGGCCATTCAATCCAGCCGCTACAAGTATTCGGTCCCACCTTTGGGCACCAGCCGTGAATTGAGAACATATTGGCGCGATTGTCGCGGCAGCCTAAGAGGATGGGCACGTACGCCAGTTCTTCAACTGCTTTACACTAGATCTAGATGGATTGCATGTGACTGTGACAGTAGCTGATCAGAGGCAGATCAGCAAGGCCTCTCCACATGTCGCCGTGTCGAAGACGATGCACAGTTGTTCAAATCGTGTAAGCAGCACGAAGACACACGACCTACCAAGCAGGCATCCGCTCCATTCCATGCCGGACGATTCGTGGTACGCTGGCATAATCTTTGAGTCACGGCGAAGCTTGAAGAACACAGCTGCAAACAGCCCGAGCTTTCAACCTGGACATTCCTCTTCATCGTGTATCGTGTTCATTGGCCTTCGTTGATGGGTCGTGTTTTCGTGAGCGCTGGTACTTGTCATCATCGGGGGCATCCGCCGTCGTCTTTGAGGATGGCACTACGGTGAGACAAGAGCTTCCAGGGCTATATCCTTCTTTCCAGCGTGCGGAAACATGGGCAATGGCGCTGGCCCTGAAACACTCTTGTGGTAACATCCGTATTGGTAGTGGTTGTGCTTGTGTTGTTAATACTTTGTCGTGGCTCGCGACAAACAACTGGGAACCTTCGTTACTTGGTTCTGTTGACAACGCCGACCTTTGGAAGCTTGTTCTCGAGTTGATGGGTGGCCGTTTGAACGATACGGTATGTTGTTTCAAAGTGAAAGCTCATATATCGGGCACATCATCCGTTCAACCGCCGCAATGGACGGATCTCAACCACAAAGCTGAATTGCTTGCTAAATCTGTTGCTCGTGAGTTGCATGGTAAACGACCTGACCTGCTTTTGTCTGAGATCCGCGATGCCGTTGATTTGCAAACTCGTTAGGTTTCCACATCGTGGCGCCGCCATGAAAGTACCAATCATCCTATTTCGAGCGATGTAGTCCCACGGGTTTCAATCCAGCTGCGCATTGAGGATTTGTAGTGAACAAACATCCCCTAAGTGGGAATGTCTGCAAAGGGGTCTTCCTATTCTCAGAGTGTTGCAGGACCACGTTTGTCAAACAAATCCTCGATACGATGCAGCTTTGGGGCAAGCTTGCATGTATATGCCTTTCTATCGTGACGTCTTGCTTGAAAACATCAATTGGGGTTCTACGCCCAAGAATCTACCGGCTATGACGGCCGGAGTGGTATGTACCCAATGTCGATGATGGCAGCAGGATGTCGTGGATTTAGTAACTGACTTTGTGATCAAGCATGGCTTTATTGGGGGCTTCTTGACTCCGGGAATGCCAATGTCGCGGTTTGCCCTTATAAAGAAAACGTATGTCATTAAGGCTATGCAATCCTGCGGCGTAAACCTAGTCACGGTCTCCAAGCTTAAGATTCGCAGAGAATTCTTAGGCGGGGACGTTGCTGGGTTTGTTGGACGGAAAAAGACGCATCGGCCCTAACTTTTATGGGCCCTTTTTCTCACGGATCAATCTAGATACGTCTTGAATGGTTCCAGACAAGCTAATGCCCACTGGGTTCCTAATTTCAGCGCCCTTTTCCCATGAGTTTCCTACAGTGGCAGTATGCATGCATTGTTCAGCTTAGTTCAGAAACAGCTCTGACGTTCGCGAGGCGGAAGAGCGAGTGTTGGTAAAAAGCAAGGCCTCTCAAACGATCAAACGGAAGCCGCCAGGTCAAGGAGTGATGCTTCATACCACCGTGACGAGAGCTCAGCATTACAGCACCTCAGACTAAACGGAGACTCGAACACGTAGTTCCGCTAATGAAGCCACATTCTCGCACAAATTGACTTGAGCTCTGCTCCTGCAACGGCGGCTCGACATCTACCTGAGCTCAAGCAGTGTGCTTCTTTTCAACGCCTGCAACAGAGACCTCCGGTCCCTGCATGCCGTCTGCTCACACTCTCATAGACAAAAGTCTCCCTGGCACAACTGGGAACTTCAACGTTTTCCTGTGACGTGTGTCACATGCCCTCCGTATTTCCATTAATCTCTGGAACATCCAGGCCTCCTAAATAACCAGAACACGCACAACTCGCGCAATGCGGGTTGCCGGGCAGCACATCTAGAGCATTGCAGCCAAAGGGCCAGCCATGTTGAATGGAAACTGGTTTTGAGCAGTGTCGCTGAGCTTATGGCAGCACCTTGACAGCAACCAAGCTGGGGGACATGTCAGTTTCACTGAGGTGCTCTGCAATGCGGCGTTGAATTCGCCTCGTTTCGAAAGTTCTGCAACCACGCCAAGGGGAAGCTCCGAAACGTGCACTTCCAGCAGCATGTCTATCCTCACGCTCGAAGCTATGCCAACCAGCATCTGGGGCAGACCGACCAGCAGACGCACGCAAGACAATTTAGGACATGTCCACGGAACTGGTCAACAACCAAGAATGTGAATGATCTCTGAACTGCAAGTAACAAGGCGAACATCCCCCAGTACAGGTGAAGTCCTGCCGTTCTGCGGCGCACTCCGGCAAGCAGATTTGGTCTCGGGATCAAGACCTGAAGTACCGTGATGCTTGAACTTCGACTATCCGCCACTTTCATACTCAAGGTTCTCATAGCGAAAGGAATGGTCAATGGTCGCTTATATAACATTGGTAAAAATTTGAAGATTCATGAAGCTCCGCGACTGCCTGTGCGCAACTGAGCGCGTGCCTCTGGAGCTGCTTCTGGAGCTTGAGCTTGAGCTTGAGCTCGAGCTCGAACTTGAGCTTGAGCTCGATCTTGAGCTTGAGCTGCTGGAGCTGCCCGATCTGTTTCCTGTTGGATATCCCGACCTTCCAGGATCAAAGGGATACGGCTAAGCCTGCCAGAGGCTTGAAGTGATTCAAAAAAAACAAGGACGTGCGTTCTGAGGTGTTCAAGAATTTCGCGAATTCGAGAGTGTAGTGCTCCACAGTCTGTGCCCACTTTGGGTGGGATGCTTGTTTCGCCTAATTGCATGGTCTGGAGTGCTGATCGTGGGTCTTGGGAGATCTTGGGAGTCTGGATGGTCCTGGAGTGTGGGGACTCTAGGTATCTCTAGGTGTTCCTTTCACTGGTTGGGGTTCTGCGGGGTAAGCTGTGATGATAACGGTCCTGTGGTGGTGACGGTCTGGCGGTGGTCGTAAAAGTGGCGGTTTGATCGAATGGACTGCTCCAGGAGATCGAGGGGCTAGAACAAGCAGCATGCACGCGGGAGGAGGATTTCCTACTCACCGATCATCTTGCTCCCGCCCATCTCTGCCCCAGCTGGCACCGGAGACACCGCATACTCGCCCTGCTACTGCATGTTTCGTTACGACGTCGACCGGAGTCTAAGGCACCAGCCGGGATCACAGATTCCTGTTGCATCACTATATCATTAATTTCCTGTGACGCAAGAAGCAAGTCAGTTTGAATGCCTATGCAAGCAGCCACGGCTATGCTCAACACTCCGCCTCAATGGTGTTGTGTATCCGGCCGCGAGTGCAGTTTGTGCTTCAACTGGTTGAGAAGTCTGCAACAGAAACCACATCGATGGGCAAATGACTGAAGTACAAGCTGCATGAACAGTGTGGACTCTTGTTGTGATAGAAGTATGTTACACCCTCGACGTTGGATGGCTACAAGCTCAACTGCATGCCATGCCTGGGCGAGACCGTGTCCCGCAACCCTCCAGACCTCCGGAGTGCAACATCATCTGAAGAATCTGATCGCACAGTAAATCGGAATCGTGAACGAAATTTGCAGTCAAGTTTTTTCGGCCTCAGGAACCTTCGCATCAGGTGGACAGGCGTGAATTCCCCCGTTTCGCATTGCTTTGTGCGTTGCCCTGCCACATCAGAGAAAAAATAAAATCATCACCGTTGCCAGCACCAACCCGCCTTTCGAGCTTATCTGCAGCCTTTACGAAGTGACGATGGCCGCAGCTGACCAGGAAGTCGATGACCTGTTCTCCGCGTTTAGAGGCCGTCTCCGGAGAGCTTCTGAGCACTGTGCCACGTCCCAGCCCTGCTCCAGCCTCTCCGGCCTGACCCCGATTAGACTCGGTGTGTTCGCAGACGGTGGCCTCCATGTGACTCAGAATGAAAGGGCCGGTTTCTTGCAGAGCATGTGGCCTCTGCCAGGCACTCGCCCCATGGTCCAGCCATAAAACCAGCCTGCGGATGTGATGCTTCTGATGCCACAGGCCAAACAAAGCGCTGCCAAGCAATGCAATCCAACTGCTACTGTGTGGTGCATCCTTACTTGAAAGCTGCATTCATGTAGCGTTGCTAGCCGTCTTGATGCAGCCCATTGAACGTCATGCACATTCCACCACATGATGTCAGCTGAAATGGTGCATGCTTGCCTCATCCACTGAGGGTGATGTTGTGCAGAGTATATCCCTCCAAGGAGCACCGCCCGCGGCCGACAGGCGCCGCAGGAATGCCATTTGCGTCCACAGGACGGGAAGATTAGCAGATGTACATGCTTCTGGCTTTGCATGGGCTTTCAAGCGCCTCGTTTCCGCTGTCGCGCGGACTTGGGAAGCTTCTGCAGTGAGATATGGATTCCAGGCCGACGTCTGCTAGTGAGACGTGATTGCTGTCACTGTAGCATTCTGGCACAGAGCATATCGCTCTGCAACAACGAGCACATCGAGCGAAGCAGCGGTTCAGGCGAGTCTTCATGACGAGTGATGTCTGAAATGAAAACAGGAAGGTACACGATTGCCACGGATGCGGCTTTGCAGATGCCCCTGGTCACGCCAGAGAACTCCTCGACAGGCTTCTGATCACTCAATTCAACATAGCTCCACGAGGCTGGCGTCCTTGAGCAACAGGTTGGACACCCAAGCATCCACAAACAGGAATGCAACAACCTCAATCCGGAACAACGAGGGACACTCAGTGCTCATCTCTCTCTCCCCTACGTGGGCACCGCCCAATCCAATTATGTCGGGCTGCAAGAAGAGGATTGATGAGAAAAAGGAGGCTTCACACGTGAGGCAGCAAAACTCAGCATACGATTTCGGGGGAGTTGGTCAAGTAAGTTCATGTAAAGTCCTGCCCGGGATGGTTTCTCCTCTCATGAGTTACGTCGAGATTCCTTGCTGGCTGTGCATGTGCTTCCTACCCGGCCACCAAACACCGAAAGTCTTTGAACAGCTTGCAGCTTTGCTGAAGCCGAACGCCCTGTAAGGACTACGAAAATAGTCCAACCACTTACGAAACCTACCATCCTTAGATGCAGTGCTGGCACTAACACGAAAGACAGATGATGCTCTGTTCGCTGCGGCGGAGTGCACTCGACTGGCCCACCCATCGTTCGCTCGAATCGAAGACTTCCGATGGTCAGAGCGCTATCGGCTCGCGAGCAGAGACCCTCAACACGTAGAAGCGGGCCACGAAAGCCACAGTTTCTCACGCTACGATCGCCCACCCACCGCCAAGCACATGGAGATCCAGCACCGACTCCTGTTCTTTCAAGCGTGAGCACCAACTTCAAGACCTTGACTAAGCCAGCAGGATTGAGTTCTCCTCCAGAGCAACAAAATTGACGCATAAACATGCACGCAGGAAATTTGGCACATGGATGGACCCGGAGAAACGTGCACCTGCATATATCGTGATGAAACTATCTACATACTGTTACTGGAGACATCTAGAGGCTGACACAGGCGCTTCATGCATGCAGGCAGGCATGCTTCCAAGCATGCACCTTCAAGTTGCAGAAGGTATCATGTCCACAACGAAATCTGCACATGCACATGCGTATGTACAAATACTGCAATCATGTGTACGTATATATATATATATATATTTATTTATTTATTTACATCTTTTCACGATGTCACATGAATAGAAATACATATACATATACATATACATATATGCATATATACATATATACGTATATACATATATACATATATACACACATGCATGTATGTGTATAGACATATATATATATATATATATATGTTGGTCATGCATGTCATATCTACCAGTAACATTGGAGAGACAGATATTTCATGATGAATTAGTTAATTGTATGGTTAATGTAGATGAAGATTTCGAAATCTGTACAAAGATACGTACGATAATGTGCATGTCTGGTGCAAGCGTGGGCCGGTGCATGTGCGAAAACGTAAACAAGCATAAACGTGCATGGTGTGCACATGGAGGGTTGTGCAGACAGACAGACCGATAGGAGCTTGGGCTTCAGTGAGGGATCAACAAAACATTAAATAAGAATCGAACAAAACTAAATGGAAGGATCTAAAAAGATTAGAATAAGGATAAAAAAATACATCATTTAATATACGGCAATTCCCGGTGCAGGGGCATCAAAACAAAAAGTTAAAGTATTTTAAATACAGCAATTCCTGAGTTTTTCCAAAGGGAAACACTATTTTCCTACGGATGCTCTTTCATTTCCTGACGATTTGCTTGGTTTCTCCTTGGGAAAACACGATTTTCCTACAGATTCCGTGTTATTTCTTTAAGTGTTCATTGGTTTTTCTTGTGAAAAACACTATTTTCCTATTACGTCTGGCGTTAGTGTCATTTCTTCAGGTTTTCAGAAGGAAAACATACGTTGCCTAGTCGTGTTGTTGTTGGCGTTGTGGTTGTGGTTGTGGTTGTAGTTGTAGTAGCAGTAGTAGTAGCAGTAGTAGTAGTAGTAGTAGTAGTAGTAGTAGTAGTGGTCCCTCATATGTCTAGAACACGCCTTCTCATTTGGCGTTTCCTGTTCAGCGTATATCTTAAACACGGCGATTCCGGTTCCTCATGTATCTTAAACACGCCCCCTCGTTTGGCGACTCCGGCTCACCCTATATCTTAAACACGCCCCCTCAGAGGCGATTCCGCTTCATCATCTATCTCAAACACGCCCCCTCATTTGGCGGTTCTGGTTCAGCATGTATCTACAAGGGCGGAGCCCCCCCCCATTTGCAAACACAATGCTCGTGTGATGGGTTTCAAGAAGGGCCATAAAAGGCCATATGCTTCAAAGCAACCCTGCAGGGCTTAAAACAGCGCGGGGCCCATTTGCAGACACAACGATCGCCTGATGGGCTTCGAAAACACTCTTTGAATCAAGCTTGCACGGCTCGACAACTGCGGCGGTGGGTCTTTTGTTCTTCCGTGCCTGTTCGTGTCTCTTCTTCCGTTAACACCTAACTTAATATAACATAGTAAACCATAAGAGCGACATAAGATGGTTCGACATCACAAGAATAGCGTGACATTTTCTGACATAACATAACATTGCTTCTTATAGCATATAATAACAAAATAAAAGACAACGATGCAATAGAACAGAATATGACATAGAACAAAACAACATCTTAGTTTATAGTGTAGTACATTGTAACATCGTACAATATAGTGTGTACATATACAACATAATATTAGTATATTATATAACATTAGGTTACATTATGTTATATTATGTTATGGTATATAACTATATTGTAGTATACTCGCCTATGTAGTATCCTATTGCTCGTACCTTTCTTTCTGTGATTATTTCATGTTCTTTCTCCTTCGTCTTTTCCAATGTTGCTTGTTTCTTCTGGATTTCTTTCTTTATTTCGCTCGTTCATCCCTTTTCTTTCTTTCTGTGGTTCTTTCTTTATTCATTTCATACTCCCGTCCTTCCTTCCTTTCTTTATTTCTTGCGTTCTTTGTTGTTTTATTTCTTTCGTTCTTTCGTTCGTTCTTTCTTTCGTTTGTTCTTTCGTTTGTTCTTTCGTTCTCTCTTTCGTTCTTGCTTTCTTTCTGTCTTCCTTCCTTTCTTGCTTTCTCTCTCTCTCTCTCACTCTCTGCCGGGCGTAGGGGCGGATCAGCGCCCGCGCCCGGGCTCTCACTCTCTCTCTCTCTTGCTTGCTTGCTTGCGAGGCTTTCTTTTCTTCCTTCCTTCCTGCCGTCTCTGGTGCTTTAATTTTTTTGATCCTTATTTAATTTTGTTGATCCGTATTTAATTTTGTTTTACCCCTGTCCCGCTTCAAGCTGCTTGCAACAAACCAGTCTTGAGCTGGTGTCCTGTGCAATGCATAATTAAGCCCGCAGCTGCCCATGTCCGGAAGTCCCAGGAATCGAAAAAGCCACCAGGGCGCAAGGAGCGATTGCGGATGTCCTGTGATCCACAGATTCTGAACTGCATCCATGGCTGTGGTACGCAACTGCACTCAAACAGGTTCCCCAACCGCACGCAATGCGCTGCATGGTATGGCTTGTTTTGCATCAGCGGAAAGAAAAGTCAGTCACTCAGTCACACTGACTGGTTGGAGAAGCAATCGGATCAGCCCTCGTTTCGGCCGTCGGCTTCGTCCAAGCGAGACCTGAGCGCTGCAGCTGCGCTCTCCTCGGGGACTGCGAATCTGCGACAGAGTCCCGAGCTGCGCATGGATTTCACGCATGTCTCCTTCCTCGGAAGCACCCGGCGGAACGACACGGATTCTCGCTCTTGCACGCCCGGGGCCGAGACAGTCAAGAACGGAGAAAAGATGGCAGACAGCCTGGCGCGAAATGATTAGCGTAGACATGTGCCCTTGTTTCGCTCAAGCCAATGGATCCGAACTTCATCTTGAGCCGTGCCCCCGAAGTATCACCAAGCTCGAGCCGGCATTGCCACCACCTTTGGTCACCTGCAGGACATGGATTGGCACAGCTAGCACACACTGCTAGAGCTCGGCTAGTCAAATTGCTGCACAACCTGTCCCAAGTTCGCAGTGAGACTTTGGCTTTCATGTAGCGAACACTGACGGGTGCAGCAAATGAAGCTGCTTCCTGCCGCTTCCTGGGCTTCCAGGTTTGTTGTCTTTGACCTGTTTGGCACAGGCCTTGGGGCTGGAAGCCTGCAGGATTTTGTTCTTCTTTCCACATACTTCATTGCCCTTATCCGACTTGGAGACCGAGAGGCCAAAAACCATGCAGAGCATGTGCTGGGCGCCTTCGGATGCAGCTCCCGAGCCGGCAGGCACCTCCTGGAAGGAATCAAGGGATGCTGCGATGCTTGCCAACGTAGTGTTTAGACCCTACGACCTTACCTCATCCTTAGGACCTTCCGGCTTTCCCTGGTGTCTCACAAACCTTCCATGCCAAACAGAACGTGGCTCATCACCGCAGTGTCTACAAACGATGCTCCTTGGCTTGCACGAGGGGCGCCTTCCCATGCTTTCACAGCAAACTTCCCACAAATCGCCAACTTCACCGTGCTGCTCCAGCAGCGTGTTTAGTGATGCTGGACGCAGTGCTGCAAATGGGCTTGGGTGAGCAATCCCGGCCTCGGCTTGGCGAACTCCATGCTTGAGATCGTAGTTCTCTCCTGAGCATGACGAGGCGCTATTCCTCAATTCGAACGAATCTCGACTGCAGAATCAGCTTGCTGCCGACATGAGTGCACCTTTCGCCATTTAGGCATCAGGACTGAGCAACTGGCTGGCAAGCAGCATCACTTGTTCGCGTAAAGCTTGGAGGGAAGTTGCCTGGACACCGGGTTGTGGCAGTTGAGCCGCAGTCTCTCGAGCTGTTTGAAGTTTAGCAGGAGCAAGAGGAATTCAGCCTTCTCCTCCTCGAAAGCAGAGAGTCGCTCACGCAACAGCCTCGGAAACTAGTACTGGTAACCATTCGTGCCTAAAGCGCGGTCAACCTGGGCATCCCCAAATGCACAAAAGCCAAGCGGGGAACTTGACTGATTATAACTTATAACTTAAGTCGGTGACAGGAGCCTGAAAGCACGGAGCAAGACTTCTCGTTGGACGCAGCATTCATTTAGGCGAAGCGAAAAGATCGAGCAAACAAACAAGGCGACATGGACTTTCAATTCGGATGAGAGTCGCGAGAAGGTCACTTCGTAGACGTCTTTTTGAGCTCAGCTGCGCACAGTGACGCACGACGACTTCCGACCTCCCGACGACGTCAAGAAGCATGCGGCACGACAAGGCCGCCGTGGCTCGTGGCTCGCACGGAGCTGATGGTGCTCTCGGTTGGCAAAATTGAGCTGTCCCGGCATGCCGTCCACAAGTTCTTTCGCTTGGAGGTTCCCGGCAGACCGTCGTCGCTTGGACTTTGATATTCATCACCAAGCCTCTGCCCACCTTGCAAACTCCAGCTGTTCGACCTTCGATTGCAGAAATGTTCGAAAGCATACTTGGACGGTTTCGATATCATGAGGTCATACAACTACAATTTGATCAAGAGACAAATGACAATGGAAGACAGTCCCCCTTGTGCAGTCCTACTGTGGGGTTCTTGCCCTTCAAGCAAAGGGACTAAATCTCTGATCCTGCGAAGCACCCGCTGTATGCGCCCGCGCCGGTTCCGTGGCTTAGGCGGTGGTGCGATGCAAGTTTCGGACAAAAGCCGTGTTCTTTCCGCAGCCCGGGAAGCCGAATTCAAAAACCAGTGTGGCTTGGTGCTCTCAAACTTCATGAACTGCGATCCCGGCAGAGTGCCACGCATAGTTTGCGATACGCGTTCCCGCCGTGCTACAGCCACAATGTGGTGCGCATTTTGCACCGGTGGTCCGGACAACGTCAGGGGTGTTCCGGGATGGGTTATAGTATGTTGGGCTTGGGCTGCCAGGTGCTCTTGGATGCCCTTGGATGATGGTCATTGGTAGTAGACAAGTGCGCCCGAAGTCCGTTCGAGACATTGGCTCGCGGGCACTGTTGTGGGGCGACCCTGTGGGAGGGAGACAGAGCGAGCTAGAGCGCATGATCCAGCAACGGACAGAGAGCCTAAAGTGGGAGGTCGCCGCCATGAAGACATAAGAGCTTGCGAGAGCGGGTCTCAGTTGAGCAGCCAGCTCTGTCTACAGTAGCACAAGGAGACATGGCAAGACCACGAAATTCCTTGGGTGTGGCAGCGTGGTTTTGAAGCCGAGCCAGCTTGGAGAGGCAGATTGATTTGCAGTGCCCCATGAGATCTTGAGGTCGCTCAATGAAACCCCACATCTTGACTGCTCATCTCTGTGCAATTGGCGGGCCAGCTTTGTCTGGGTTAGCCGTACTCAAGTCCCGGGCCTGTTCTCGGCCAAGAGTCCCGATTGCTCTGCTCCAGCCACTTCAGCCACTGGAGCAGCCTGGCATCCGGCAAATTCGTGCAACGGCGGCGCGGGCGCGCTGGCAGAACCCCGCCTCCGGGCTCTCTGCCCATGGTGACTTGATGCTCCGCGGTGTAGAAATGTCAAAGCACGCCTGAGAGTCTGAGAGTCCCTACATTACAGTCGAGTGGTGTCCGTTTCCGGAATGCAATCACAGCATGACAAGATAAAGGCCGCGACAGCTTCCGACTGGACCTGGACCTGGCAGGCAGAGCTTTTCACTAGCAGGCACTTCGCCGACAAATGAGAGCACCAGAATAACAACCGCACGCGTTCGCGTGCCCCCGCCCTACCACCCGGCACGCGGACACTGCAAGGTTTTTCTCTCGAGGTGGCTGGTCCCGAGCGAGCTTCGCTCGTTGGTCGCCTCACCTGCTTCCCTCTGGGAAGCCGGTGAAAGCTTACAGCTCAACCTCTCTTCAACTTTAGACGAGGAGCCGAATGAGCCCGACACCGGCCTTCGCCAGTGGGCCCGCCTGTCTTCTCCTCGCCTCCCACTTCTTGCTTCTCCACTTCAGTACCAAGGCGGGTACATTTAGAGCATATGAGCAACCCCCCCTTTTTATTAGAGGTCCTAGGTGCTCCCCCGGGTGTCCACGTCCCCGAAAGGAGGTCAGCCGGGAGCACCCGTTAAGAGGTAGCCCACAGGGCGTCAACGGGGGAAGGGGACCCCGGAGACCCTAAAACTTCCAGCTCCACCACAAGCCGCACCACGCCGTAGGGAGTCCAAGCTTGGAGGGGCACGCCTCGAGCGCCTAGGGATAACGCCGAGCTTCACCCGAAGAGGTTAGCAAGGTTTATCCCCTAATGGAGCCTCGTTGATGAGTCTCCCTGGGATTCCCCGTGGTTTCCCCCCAGCTTTGCTCGGAAGAAACTGAAGCAATGAAAATCCGCATGCCACGGTTGGGCGGGTGGGAGAAAACGGATTTTCCCCTTGGTGCCTTCACGGCCCAGGGGGGGTGGAGACCCCGCCTGGTTCCCGGAGGCACCCTCGAGCCACGGCTCGGAAGCGGTCACGTGAAGTGAGTCATCCAGCCTCCGGCAAACGTATCGGTTGGCATAACAACCGGACACGTTCGCATGCCCGCGCCCTACCACCCCGCACGCGGACACTGCAAGCTTTTTCTGTCGAGGTGGCTGGTGCCGAGCGAGCTTCGCTCGTTGGTCGCCTCACTTCCCTCTAGGAAGCCGGTGACCCAACCCAGTACACTCACCCACCAGAGAGCGAGCCCCTTCACCAGCCCTCGCCCGGTGAGGGCCTCTTACACTCTGTTCAGAAGTGTCTCGGTCCTCGCTCCCTCCCGACAAAATCTGGAACTCCGCCCCTATGTCCAGGGTCCGTAGTTCCCCTGTGCGGCTTGTGGAGCGCCAACCGAACATCTAAGGCAGCCCAGAAAACAAGGGAGACCAGGAACCTCCTAGTCCTCTCCTCCCTGCTGCCTCGCACGACCAAAAGGGGATCGTCCTCCGCCCTGTGCTTGCTAGGATCGTGCACGGCCGGCCTGGGCAGCCCTGGTGATGAAGGCGCTGTTCCGCCCCCGCGTGAGCGGAGCCATGCCCAAGCCGAAAGTGACACCGCGATACGCGCAGTACACGCCATCCGAGTCCCTCACGACGGCAAAGCCCGGCTCCGACTCCTGAATCTGGAGATTGTGAGGAAAGTGTCGGCGATGTCCACCGTGCAGAGCTCCACCTCTTCGTCGGGCCTCGCTTTTGCCATAGAGCGCGGACATCGCGAACGGCATCCAGGCATCACAAATCGCACACAGATTGTCGCAGCCTCAAACACTCTGTTCCCGAGTATTTACGGGAGCACCATGCACTCGAAACAAACTTGGAGGCTTGGCAGAGTATTCAAGCGCGACCGCATCAGAACATCAGGACTGGGTCATGGCGGTGCTGGCGAAGTCAGGCCAGGGATCTACCGGCACTCTGGGAAGCCCCTGCGCTTCTCCAAGACCGCGGAATCCACGGCTCCGATGTGGCAGATCATGAACGTGCTACATATGCTCCAGCTGAGGTTTGCAGACTTACTTGAAGGATCATGGGGGTTACTATGTAGATAGTGGACTTTTACAAGTTAGTGCCAAACTTAGAGCGGTTAGCCAAGTCCAATTAATGGACTTAGTAAGTGAGAGATAAGGGACTTAGGTAAGTCCAGATGGAGCAGTTAGGTAAGCTGACTAAGTGAGTTAGCCCAGTTAAGACGATGAATATAGCAATGGTATTTTGTATCTATTATATACATACATATACACACATATACCGAAGAAGCTCACCGTGAAAGCATCGCACAGCATGCAATTGAGGCCCTCGGGCTAAAGCAAAGATGCACCAGCAGCAGCACATGAAAAGATTGAAAGCTAAAAACCTGCATCAACACCGAAACCCGACACCAGCCTCAAGCTGAAAACTTTCTTGAAAATCTAAATCCGAGACCATCTTACAACACATCACCGGCTCCATCATATTATGCGGGGAAGCCCTTCGAAGTTGCCCATGTTCGCAAAGCATTACATAAACATCGAAATCAAGCTACATACCAGTTATGAATATAGACACCGAAACCGACATCATATGAGCATAAACACAAGTAAACGTAAGCCAATATCAGCCCCCCAAACCCTGCATTCCCAAGCATCTGGTGGTTGCCGACGTCAACAGCACCTGCGAGGGAGGGCTTTATGTGAACACAAACATGAAGCACAGCACGAGTTCGAATGCAGGGCCGTGGGCTCGCATGCAGGATCATGCACCTTTGCAGCTCACTCCAACAACACGATGGCATCGTCGCCCTTGCGAGACCAGATGCAAGCCGAAAGAATGCATGCCGTGTTGATGAAGAAACTTTCGTGCTTCACACGGTACATGTGATCGGCCACATGGCTCCATGGACTCATGCATGTGAGAGGCAGGCCGTCAACCTCAACATGAAAGTGAATCATGCCGACAACGTGTTCCTGTGCATGCTTGGCTCTGACGACATCTCCATGGGAGCACCAGAACCCTCCATGCAATGCTGCCTGTGCTTGAAACACACCGTCGGAGTTGCCGAACACATCCCGGATCAGGCTGGCCATTGCCTTTGTGCACCGTCTCTTGCCGATGAGTCGCACATCCCCTTGAGGGAGTTCGTCCTGCATCGCAAGGAACTGAGCTGCAAGGGTCTCGCGAAGGACGGTAGCTTCGTATGATCTGGATGTGTCCTTCATGTTGTTTGCGAACCTCTTGGCCAGCTTGTGTTTCCTTTCGTGCACGAAGCACGAGAGCAGCCTCCCGTGCCGAGCTAAGAATTCGGGTAGGTGCATGGTCATGTGGTTCTTCGGAACCCAGTACTCTGCCCCGTAGTTAGCGAGGTAGAGTTCGCAATGCTCCTTAATGGCACCCCTGAGGGCAGCAGGGTCCAAGCCACCCTGAGTGGCTTTCCTCAGCATGCGAAGGATTTTGCACAAGGTGAAGAATCCGTGACAGCAACTCTTCAGGGAGTCGTCAGCATCCCTCCAGACGAAGAGGATAAGGAACAACTGCAGGACCGGCAGGAAATTAAGGAGCTCGGAGGCTTCTGCTTTCACCGGGGCAGTCTTGTCCTCTCGCTTTTTGGCGAGAACTGACTTGGCATCCGCACCAGCGAATTGCACCGGCCAATGGAAGGATTGCACGAAGTCGTGTATCTGTTGCTCGGGAAGCCACTGTCTCGGAGGCGGCCTAGCAACACCCCAACCTCGTTACCGGCCACACCGCGGACCAAGTAAATGTGGAACCAATCGAACATGATCATCTCCGGAATGTTGTGTCCTACATTCGACATCAAGAGGCCTCCCGGCATGTAGTTGTAGCCCAAAGCTTTTTCCATTGTTTGGAAGTCCTTCTGGGAAACCGTGCCACGTTGGGAAGAGAGGTACCTCATGATTTCACCGACCGACCGGTTCGTGTGCAAGCGAAACTTCGTGAAGTCAGTGCATGTCGACGAGAGAACATCGCCATGGTCCTGTAGCCCGCTTCGGTGGGCAACGACATTCGCACATCTCATACAAAACACTGTGCCCGAGGCACCTTTGCTTTCAGCTGTTTGTTTCAGGGCTGCCTCGTCCGCTATAAGAACGGAGAGGTCGGCAAAGACGGGAAATGCTGTGGTGGATGTCTGCAGCACCACACCATGCCTCATGTCATGATCCATGAACATGTGCTGGATGGCATGTTTCCAAAGCACAGTGAGGCCGCCGATCCGATTGCAAAGAGTGCTTCTCAGTATACACAAAGGGAAACAAAGCCACTCCGAGGCCAGATCTTGCCCGTGCTGGACGATGGACCAGTAGATGACTTGTAGTTTCCTGGCATTCAGCGCTTTTAGCTGATTGCCGGGACTAACTTCGTCAGCATATATAGCGATGCCCAGCTTGTCTCCAGGGCTGGACTGGCCACACTTTTTGAGCAGTCCATGGTAATGCTCGTTGACGATGCAGTGCTGCAGCAGCACAACAGGTGGCACGAAGGGAACCCTAACAAATTTGGTGTCACCGCGCTCATGTGGGATGTCCATGTTAATGATCATCTGCCCAAAGGCATTCTCCCACGACTTCTCTTCACCATCCCTCGCTCGCTTAATCGAGGCTCGTGAGGTGGTAGCAAAATCGTCGGCGAGGAAACCGGTCTTCTTCAAATCGCTGAGCACGGATTCCAGACCTCGTTGTGATACAAACACCTTCCTCCCCAGGCTTGCCAAAGGTTTGGAGCTGGAGCTGGATGTCATGATGCAAAGCTGTGCAGGAATTGGTCCTGGCCACGAGCCAAGGGCCCTGCAGCACGGACTCTTTTAGTGTAGCTTTGTTGGCGATTTTCCATGAAAGGATGAACTGTCACACACATGTAAAGTTTGCAGCACAATACTCCGAATATATTATATGATCGAACCCCAGGAACCTTCAGCTTTAAAACACCAACAGACTTTACAATACATTTCCTATATGTATACATTATATGATATACAGACACACTATATGTATAGTTTAATAAATATATACAAATCGGAAACCCCGAACCTGTATAGGCTCTGAGATATACACTAAACCCTTTCACGACACACATCCTCTATAACAATGCACAGGAGCTCCAGCTTCCATTCCATGTCACATGTCAGGGCACACATGCATCGGCCACATTTTGAGATGCTCTTGCTGCAGCCCGTGTGCAGCCGGACTTCA